GAGGACTGACCGACAGACTGACACATAATATCTTTCAAATTTTGTTTGACGTTCAAAAGTGCCTGTATGGGTCTAATTGAAATAAATGATTTTGACATTTTTTTACTTTAATCTATCGGATTCCTAAGATCTAATCCGTGCACTCGCCAACCATGCAATTTTTTTTGACAAGGTAAAATCATCAAATTTCTTCTAACGAACGAGGAACGAGATGGAATGGCAAACCATCCTTTCCTTCTCCTGTTTTACGCAGAATCCGCGGTACATATTGCACTTGAGCCACATCTTCTCTAATTTAGATAAAATATGAAGTCTCATTTTACAGTGTCCTTAACTAATGGCCGACTGACCAGAACAAGACCCGAGTGTACCTTGCGAGCGCACTGTGAGCCATCAAACCTCTATTAGACTCATCAAACCGCTTTGATGGGGTACATGTCTTCAAATATATTTTCTAGTCCTGGATGGGGCTATTGCGGCGCAAATGACGATGACGATGATGATGATGGATGATGATGGTAAGTAATCGGCGCCGCCCACCCGCACCACAAGTGACATGCCAGCGTTTCGGGGATTAGAGGTTATGGAGATTTAGGGATTAGGGCAGGAGCAATTTTATAACTAATACTAATACGGCAATATAGATTGCTGTGGTATTTGTACCAAAGCATGACACTACCACACTTTCAAATCACAAACAACTGCTTTTGGTAATTTGGAAGTATCCTTACTAAATTCTCGGAAACTAAACCGTGGCCATCTATATTCAACATTAAGTCAACACTATTATTTATTGCCTAACTTTATTAATTTGCTATCACAACAATAACAACTTTAGCTTCGGCTATCTTCGAACTGGGTCAACACTTCGCAGCTGTATGTAAACTGTACCCCATGACCCCATGGGGCGTCATGTTTATGAAAATGTATGTGCATAATAATTAGTCACGGTAGTTAATGCCGTGATTGACCTGTTAGTCTTATAATGTTTCTGTGTAAATACTATGTTTGACTTGACTATATCAGAAGGCCATTTTCTCAATCGATTTTGGATACAAAGCCCTTAGTCATGGAGTTTCTTGCTCGTTCTCCATTGGAATCTACAATTGAACCGAATAAATAGCTTCACTAAGAAGACAGAATGTCATTTTTTATCTGAAAGCTTTGATGACCATCATAAGTGCCTGTAAGGGTCTAATTGAAATAAATGATTTTAACTTTGAATAGGGAGATTAACTTTTTAAACGTTACCTATATTGTGAGTGTTTTTACAAATATACTTATTCCATATCATATATAACACACATCGGCAAAACAACAACATTCGCGCGGTAACGAAACCGTAACAGCACATGCACAGCATTTAGTTGCCCAGCTACTGCATCAACCTAGCAGTCAATGACAAACCCCAAGTAATAACAGTTTTGGCGTAACCGTGTAACAGACGAAATGTCGTATAAAGAAAACTTATCTTCTTCAAGTGAATATCTTGACTTTAAAATACCTCTCCAGCATGAGAATGGTTAAATGGTTATTATAATCCATTTTCGCATACCACTAACAATGTGGGAACGCAAATGTCCCTGCAACCCCTTACTCGACCAACTTTGGCTCATTGTGCATACAACATAGTTTCCACAATGTCATCCTACTAAGAGGTTCGAAGCTTGCAGAGAATTATCTCCTATATCCCGATATTAGAACACCATAACAATGAAAGCCATTGTTCGGGATATAAAGAGCCCGTTACCGACATTGGATACGTCCAATGTGTCGAAGTTTCCCTATAACAACACCGTATTTGACATTTTGCTTGGATTCTTAAACACTGGAATGGTATCTATTCAAAAACATAGTGATTTGTTAAAAAATACTGAGCCAAAATTTGTTTTTTTTTTTATTTACTTATTCAAGCTGCATGCATATACATTGTATACATGTGTGACTGTATGCCGATGAGGCATTATCTACCAGTCAGACCTTGGGGTGATGCAGAGAAAAGGACCAAACAATTAATCGTTGTCCACAAATTGTTGTTCCAGTTAACGCAATTGCGCTACAGGAGAAAACGTAACTCAGGTATTTCTTTAATTTACTTATTAAATAAAAATAAGTTTTATATATAATAATATAATATACTACCTACAGAAGTGTATATTCAGTGTAATGACGCAGCCTACTTCTCCAAAAATGCTTAAAATTAAAAAAACCTACATACCTAAATATTTCTAAATATTTGAAGTTTGAAAAAAAATTTAATTATTATTTTTCAAACTTATATAAATGGCATATAATGCAATTTACCTTATTTAAACAACACTCGGAGAAAACATTAAGAATCATACTGGAATAATTTACGAACTGCGATTGATTCTGAAAAGAATATTGCGGACACTTCTCAATAGGTTTAAAGTTTCAAGATGGTCATAACTTGGGCTTATTTGAACAGACTCCTTTTGAAGCAGTTATCGGAATAAGTACTTTAAGTTTTATTGAACAGAGCGCCGCCGTTGGGAGCTTCCCTATTTTATTTATTATGCTCACTAAAGTAGTTAATGGAGTTCTGGATATTTGCGTGCCTATTTTTTAATGCCCTTAAAGTTTTCATTGGGCTTATCTATTAGAATTGTGTTCATCCATTTTTTTAGATTTTGTATAAATGTTTTTTTATTCAATTTTTAGGGAATATTCACTTACTAGTAACAATGACATTTCCATGTACAATATGGCTATTGAGTAGGTATTCCTGTGCTTCTTGCAAATTTTCAAAAAATATTATAATAACAATGGTCATCACAAAACACAATCTACTACAAAAACCAGAAAAAACGGCCTGTTCTTTTTATTTTAAAAGTATAGAATATGACTAATTATTAAGTACTGTAAAATGGGGAGACAAGATACTGAAAAGGGGGATTTTTTCTAGTATTCATCCCTCTTCTGCGTCTTTTCATCATTCAACTTCTAGTCATTTCGTTTCACCAACCCGATTGTATCTTAAACCCAATTTTAAACTCCATTCAAAAAGTGATAACGAATTCTAATAGCGTCACTCAGGTTATATTCGACAAATATATGTTAAAAAAATATATGTTTTCTATTCCACGCCTGTTTAATCCTTGAATATTTATACAAAATGATGCAATAGATATTGAGTGTAGGCAGAGAAGTCGTTTACACATAGTTTCATAGTACTAGCTCTAATTCCGCGTCATTTCATGATTATTAACTATTATGATTTTGATTAAATCCATTTGGCTTTTATTGATCAATTTTTTTTACTAAGCTGTATTATCGACAAAGCGGCTAAGCGCCGTTGCCAGTCACTTTTCCAAGTATTCCTCGCGATGTTTTCTTTTACCTCATTTTAAGTGATGTCTAAATAATCTTTCAAAGTACATATAATTCGTAAACTTACCTTTTGATACTTTCCGAGTTATAATAATTATGTACTTACTTACATCCGTACTCGTATTACCCTGATGAGAATGATCCGGACTACAAAGATGACGGTTTTCAGTTTACGAAATAATGGATTTTTTTTTATGTAATAGGTCGTCAAACAAGCAGACGGATTACCTGATGGTAAGCAATCAGCGCAGCCCATAGACACCCGCAACGGAAGAGTTATGAGTGCGTTGCCGACCTTATAGGAATTAGGGCTTTCGAGATTTAGGTATTGGGGAGGGATCGGGAGAGGGGAAGGGTTGGGCCTCCGAAAACCTCACTCACACGGCGAAACACAACGCTGTAATTATTTCACGCCGGTTTTCTGTGAGGCCGTGGTATCACTTCGATCGAGCCGACCCATTCGTGCCGAAGCATGGCTCTCCCACACTTGAAAGATTGGATAGATTATTTCTTCGAAGTTTCTTTAAACACCTTGTAAGTTTGAGCGGTTATTGATTTCAATTCCCGAGCTAATCAAAGCGTTATACAGGTCGTCGTTTTTTTTTAATTTACACTGTTCAACGAGTGACTAGGAAAAGACGGATAAGATCATCAGCTACTGCAAGAAACTCACAACGTCACTTCATATCACATCATCAGCTTAAATGTACCGACTGCTGAGCAAAGACCTCTTCTGACACGGAGAATATTTTATTCGGTATAATTCACCCCGCTTCAAGGATTGGCTTATATATCATCAAACTTATAATCAGAAATTATACGTTCAGGTATCCACAAGAGTTTTTCCTTCACTGCTTGTCAGTGATGTATAAATAACCTATACATAGACGACTCGCTAAATATAATCCTATGCCCATTTTATTGAAAATAAAAGGCGTAAAACAATTATTGTAAATAATAATTATATATACCTACTAGATAATTAAGCAAACAACTTTAATGGAGTTTTTAGATGAAGTTACTGTTGTTACCGCTTTTGTTCACGTGAGCTAGTTTCAGAATGGTGTTTATGCATCTCTTGGGGTGCAGTGAGAGTGTGCTTAGTGCTTCTGGTAATTACACCTAATAAGTTCGTACACATATCCATGTTGGTATATAAAGATTATTTCCACTAATTTGGAACCAGCTTGGCGTGTTTTTATGTATAAAAACTTTAAATTATTAGTAAGTATTATTTTGTAATAATTTAAATAATTACATAAAAAATAATGGATGAATGGATAAATAAAAAATATTATTCATTTTTGTCATTTCATGAACTTTTAGACATATCAATCAACGGCAATAAAACTCATTATACAAATGAAAATAATTTATTAAATACATTTTTAATATAACATAATACCTTAACTAAAAATAAATTACATTATAAAAAAAATAAACTAACTAGACGCAGTTTAATACGGAACAGTTTTAGAATTTGGAATCAGTTCTGAATTCAAAAAAATGTAAAGAACAAAATATGAAGTAGGTACCTAACATAATAACATTATGATGGAATGATGAAGAATGAAAGAGATAGAAAGACTGACAAAAAGAGAGAGAAACCTTTTACAAAATGAGATATGACTTGCAGTAGTATTTTGTTCTTAATCTATGGCACGTATGTTTAAAAAGTTCTGAGTTACGTTAAAGTTACGTTTCTGCAAATATATGTATTTTACATTCGTTATCATTCATATTAACTGCACCTATAAAAGTTTAAGTAAGTCACAATTAGAAATACAGTCAAAACCTCTGAACTCTAAGGTAGATTTTTACTAAACAACCAGTTGAACCCGTTACTGACATCAGCAATACCAGGCAGACCCTCCTGAGGTTGAAATGGCTCCTGATCAGCAGGCTCATAGCTGTACCCAACAGTATTATACTCCTGACTCAGAGGAGGGCCGTACATCATTGTGGATCCTGGACCTGACTGGTTCTTCATGTAGCTGGTGAGGAATACTCCTCCCAAATAAAAGAGTTTTTGGAAGAAAGCCACTAGGAAGAAGAAAGATGCGACTTTGATTACTGCTAGCTTTGACAGTACCACCAGCGCTGCGATTGCTGTAACAAATAGAAGTTTGAATTAGGCGTTGTGTGGTGTTTTTTTTTGTGTTCTATTTTTGCCTTTGATTGCCGACAGAAAAATGTTGAAGGCAAATCCTCCGCTAACGGAAGTCACTGGTGACCCCCATGGCGCTTAACGTGTTAAATAATTCAGTAAATTTGTCCTAATATAGGTACTTAGTCACATGACTCGAGTGATAAAGAGGAAAATTAAAAAACTATTAAACATTTTTTGTCGTACCTATATGATAAAAACAATTTCATAAAAGGAATTTACGTTTAGAAGTGTTAGCGAATGGCTTTAAGATGTACTAAATTGTGACGTTATAGGATATTTTAAACAAATATATTCACAAAAGAAAAAAACTTGTTCAGAGTACCTATAAATTAAAGTATAAGGCGGACACTGACAAAATATATTGATAGAAAGTATGTAGGTATTCGTATTTTATGGTGTAAAAAAAATTACTTCAACGTCGTATGGTAACTTATATAAATCAATATTTAACATATTATGTAGTAAGTACTATATTTTTACTTTCTGTAAAATCAACAAGTATCTATTGCAAGACTAGGGGCAGAATACATTTTAAAATAAGTAAAAAATATGTTACAGCGTCGAAATAAAAATACACAACAAAACGATTTTTCACTAAATTTATTGACTTTCAGAAAGGAGACGCACGTAGGTAATTACAATTAATTTTCAAAATAAGAACTCATATTTTAAAAGAATATTTTTTAAGAAAGAGACCGTATGCTTTAAGTCCTCTAGAAAGCAAATAAATAAGGTTCTAGTCTAGTCCACAAATTACTGTAACAGTTTTACTTAATTTTCAGGAAATGTATGAAATTATGACGGCCACTGAATCCATTGCTGGTTAACGAAAATAAAGTTAAGTTTCTCTTATTAAATTAGGTACAGCTTGATTGTTAATAAATTTTTGAAAAAGAATAAAATGTTAAGCAAGGAGCCTGGTATTGGAAATATATTGTTTCCTGATTATTATGATCTAGTTTGGGTTAATTTGAACATTTACTTTCTATTGTTACGTGTGATAAAATCTTTTTTATTATTAAAAAACTATCATTTTAATTTTCTATAAAAAGTTTCTTTTTATTATTGGCCGCAAAAATCTTTAAAAAAGAGAACAAGTCATAATTTGAAATTAAATTCGAGAATATAGTCGGAAAAGATGGCGGGGATTCGAGATTTTTGAACGATTCGTGACATTCTGGTTATAGTTCGAAACGAGGCAACATTGCATTGACATAAAAAAATATTATAATAATATTTTTAAAAATTAAAAAAATATAATAATAATATTTTTTTAATAGGTTCTAACAGCTAATAAAAAGGCTAATCCTTGAATAGCTTCGGTCATCGTTGTCTTACATAGCACTTGTCCAACCAACATGGTACACTATAACTTATTAACAATTTAATTAAATTACCTAAACAAATTCAGTTCTATGAAAATAAACATCTTTTACAAAGATAAATAAATACAAATTACTTTTCTACGTACACATAAAACATTAATTAAAAATAAGTACAACATACATACACAGCTTTTCAAAACAAAACGAATCCAATATTTTCAACTAACATGATTGGAAAACTGAAGCTATTACTTTTCAAAACACAACTTAAACTACATTGAGTAAGATTGGTTTTCCAGTAACAAGAGTATCCGGAAAACAGAACGTTAATAAATTGTATTGACGAGATGAAATGTCAACCCGAATGTAGTTTCCATTACGGAAATTGTATCAATTCCAAGTAATCTCCAAGCTTGGGATGTGTCTTAATCTTGATTAAACCTTGTATTTATTTCTTACCGTAATAGTTAGGATTATTGGTGGATAACCGCAGCTAAGGTGCCGGTAATGTTAGCTCACTTTTGGTACATTTGTTTTTGAATTTAGAATGTACTTAGTTGAATTTTAGAGCGAAGAACGAATCGCTTTTTATTAAGTACATAGAAATAACGACGATTTCCGTGTGTGTAAAAATATACTATTTTATTACTATACCAAAAGTCTTAAAGTTTATCAGCTGGTACTCAAAGTATCATTTTAACGTCTCATTGAAAAATAAATATTATCGAAAAGAAGCTCATCGAAAACAGAAAAATAATTATGTTCATTGCTTCAAAGTAATGCATTAAACAACGTTTTCCTTGATTTCTTCTCCGTATCAAAAGATTTAGTATTCATTTGCGCTGCTATCTTTTCTCTTGTAAAAACACGGAAGCCTGATTTACGAGCTCATTTTATGTTCCAATGAACATCGTCATAACTCCCAGAAATTCAGACTACAAAAGATGTCTTTGATTTGTTTGGTTGTAAAAACACTCCAATTAAATTAACTACTCACCCAAAAGTCTTAAGATTCCTTTCTTTTTCTTCGCCCTCGCTTCCTCCGGTAATTGTTCATTACTCTCCAAGCAATAACAACACACTAATAACGTCAAAATTACAACCACTTGCTTCATCATTCTGATGACAAAAAAAATATTTTTAATCTGTATTTTAATTGACAATTATTTAATCTGCGTTGGCGCGCTTTCTGACAGTTGACAGTTCTTTGTTTTTTAATTCAAAATTATGGAACAACGAAATCAATATCGCTATTCTCTCGCCAAGTTCTGCTCAAAAGTTTGTTGGGTAAATATAAAATGTTTGAGTTTTAAAAAGTTTTGGCGTGTTAGAAATATATTTTACACTTTTCCCGAACACCGAACTGTGCGGTCTGCGTTCCCGTAAATAAATAAGTATTGGTTAGGTGTGTGGCATTCGTAAATTCTTTTCTCGAAGAAAGTTTGTTCATTGTTTCCATAACTTAAAGGAAACTGTGTCGAGTTTTCCTTTCTGTGACTAATTTACATGTGAGGAAATAATTATTATGTTCTTTTGTGTAACTTTCTTGTATTTAAATTTTTACGTTTGTTTCAAAAAATTTCACCGAAATTTACATTTGAATGGTAGTTATTGAGTATTAGGAATGAGTTATGTAGGTAGGTACTTATACGTGGAATACAAGTGTTTTGCATTCTCCGTTGCATCTTCGTGAGTCGTGAGAGGCGGAGACGCGGCATGCATTAATATTTTAAATTCAATTCAAGCCCGTCTAAATTATAAATTCATGCATATTTTGAAGACATTCCTAACCAGCCAAGTCGAATTTGTTAAACGTCATTAGCACGTTATAGCATAATTATCTAGTATATTTTTTTCAAAATTTTTCATAAGGCAGGCATTCATAAAAACCTTGTAGCTTGTATTTGAATAAATGTCCAAATATTCTAAGTAAATATTGCTAAATTAAAAGTCGTTTCAATAAAATATCCTATCGCTTAAATGCATAAGTAGAACAATAAGATACTTATAATAAAATGTATATGTTAACATAAGTAGCTTTGAGTAGAAATAAAACGGCATTTTAAGAAAAGTGCTGTTGTGAACACACAAGTTCATACATGTGTATGTATACCTAATATGACTCAGAACCGAACAACAATATAGTGATCACATAAAGAGGTTTTCCTTGAAGTTAGGGAGAGCCATGCTTCGGCACGAATGGGTCGGCTCGACCGGAGTGATACCACGACCTCACAGAAAACCAGCGTGAAACAACCACAGCGTTGTGTTTCGCCGTGTGAGTGAGGATACCGGAGGCCCAATCCTTCCCGTCCCTCGATCCCTCCCAAATCCCTTAATCTCCAAAACCCTAATCCCTAAGAGGTCGGTAACGCACTTGTAACTCCTGCGTTGCGGGTGTCCATGGGCGGCGCTGATTGCTTACCATCAGGTAATACTTCTGCTCGTTTGCCGGTCTATTACATAAAAAAAAAAATTATCAAACCCGCAATACATTGTACAGCAGCCGTGCACAAACGTACAAACTATTGACTAAATGTCAAAATTTCAATGAAATGTAATCAATTCAAATCCATTTGCCAACCAATAAAGTCTAAACTATAATTAAGTCTGAATTTTGCTAGCAACCAACACTGTTCGCTTAAAACGGTCTCAAATTTCGTCTGTCAGTCGCTATTTAGATTTAGTACGGTCATTAGCGCTCGTCTTTGTGGCTCGTGGCTAAACAACCTATCAACAAGTGTTGATTTACATTTTAGTTTAGTTTCAACTAAATTCGGTTCTTAACGTTTTCGGTTTTAGACATGCCACGTGTAACGTAAGTTTGGATGTAACCAAATACTTGTTTCAAAGTTTGTTCCTTAATAATAATATTTACAAATGTTAAAACTATATCTACCTACTAATATTAACTAGTTTGTAAGTTTAGATGACTGTTTGTTACGATTACAGGTAAAAGCTACTGAACAGATCTGAATGAAATTTGGCAGAGTCTAAAATAACGTGCAGGTTACTCTTTTTCTTGGTACCTTCTGCAGGCGAAGTCGCTGGCAGAAACTATTATTGTAATAAAATATCGTAGGTTTAACGCGGTAGCTCGGTAAACGGCTGCTGGACAATGTGACGCGGGTACAATTTCCGCACAGAACAACTATGTGCATGATCCACTAATTGTTGTTCTAGGTCTGAGTGTGATGTGTACGTTACACCCACGAAACAACGTATTTAAAAACAAAAAAAAGGTTTGTGGTAATTGTAGCTATCTTTTGACGTTTTAATTCAAATTGGTTAAGCGATTATAGCAATATGTGATTGGCAATAAAACCACTTTCGTATTTATAATATTAATTAATAATTTATACAATCATCATTTTAGCCAATACCATTAAACCATTTCACGCTCAATCATACTCGGCGTTTGTGCACGAATAAACACACAATTCGAAATGTAAAATGTCGTAAAACGCAATTTATTTACTTAATATAAATTGTGGATAAGCACACAGCTATTTGCTAACTGCCAATCCGGCTGCAAATAATGAACGCAACAATTTCGTTGAAATGAAACGCTCTGCAAGTCTGCATTTAAAACGCAGCTCGAAGCTAAGCGAAGCGATATTACCAGCACAGCTAATAGAAAGCATAAATTATGTAAGCGTCGCGCCCAGTGATGGGGAAACTAGCCGGGAAATTTGGCAGCCGAGAGACCGGGATGTAGCTAAATGCATCGCTCGTGTACTTTACGACTCGCCGGGGTAACACTTTTTGTACACATTATCTATTGAAATTTACAGAAGTATATTAAAATATATTAAGAAGCTGATGTATAAACACAAAATGTTCTATGATATTGCAATAAAGAAACGAGCGTAATCCTTCTTTAAACGCCGGCAACGCGCCTGTGACTCCTCCGGTGCTGCTCGTGTCCATGAGCGGTGCTGATCACTTACCATATCAGGTGATCAGTCGGCTGTTTGCCTCCTATTCCATTAAAAACTTGTATAACACGCATTTTTAAAGCTTATTAAAGAATATTTTGCTATTGTTTACAAACTTTGGTACATAAAAGAAGAACTGAGATAATGCGATTAACAATAACCGTTTCTCCAACTCTAGAATCCAAGCAAAGTAAAGCTAATTAATAACAATATATTATCAAGGCGAGGCTAATTACACAAAGTGTAAATTATGTAAGCATAGCGTCCTCGTAATCCAAACTGCAGCACTGAGAATTCCCGGATTGCCGTGTCCGTATTTGAGTAACAGTATGAAAACTCAAATAAATGTTTAATTAGATAAGAAATAGTTTAAACGTTATTTAAATCAAAGTCGGTGTATTCTATTATCTTACTTTTTGGGTAGATACGAATAATTACAATGAACCATTTTTAAATTGTCATCTGATTAAATGTTACATTTTAGTTAAAATCAAAAGTTTACAAAAAAAGTTAATAAATTTATACAATTAATATGACTATATAATATAAAACAAATGAATGCTTAAATCTTTAAAACTGCGCATCTTTTACTGCGATTTTTTTTAAATATGTGTTATTGAAGAGGATGTTATATATTCATAATAACAACCGTTAAATAATAGAGAAATTTAGTATCAGCATTCCACTCGTGCGAAGCCGGGGCGGGTCGCTAGTAAGTTATATACTTTTCAAGAGCATTTTGCTATAAATCCTCCTTGGAAAACTTCATTCAGTAAACAATTAAACAGATCTACATAAACATTTAACAGATCCCGCGACCGATTCCCTCGGTATCCCACCACTAGAGCTAGAGCAAAGCTTCCAGATTTTTATTGAATTTTACCTTATTTCAAGCTCATTCCGTTCATTGCGAACCGCCCTGATTTCCAGTTAACTATTTTAAAGTGTAATATTTTAACTGGCTTCGAAAGAGGCACTCTTTGTTTCATTTTATTTTTTTAATACAATCCTCTTTTCGCTTACGTTTGCTTTTGCTTGTTGATTGTGTTTAGTGGATTTATGTTTGCTGTTAAACATTTTGGTAAGAATTTTCTTATAGCTAAATTTTTAACATTGTTGTATCGTTGTATAAGAAACTAATATGACGTCCGGGTTAGCCTGAGTGTGCTCAGAGTTTGATAATGTTATCACTCTCTTGATTAACATAATATAGTATCTTGTGATGTATCAAACATAGCCTTTTCACATCAAATAAAATGATTTTTTTAAGTAGTGACTATCGTGAGACATAGGTTCACGGCTTGATTTACCAAACCCCAAGCACTTATAATTATTTTATTCCCTGTTCTGTTCTATTGTTTCAAATTACCACGATTGAAAAGTTAATGACGTGAATCAACTGAGAAAAGCTCTAGTGATTTCAAGTCGCAACGGGACTCTTATTCATGAGCAGCGTTCGCGTCACAGCGACATCGCGCAGCTGAAAATTCATTTAATTTTAATTTCATATTTTTGTGTTTTTTGAATAAAGAGAAGTTCTGCTAGTACAATAGTAAGCAGTGTCGCCATGCACGCACACACAATGTTGCCTGTCATTAAGAATTCAACACGGTCCTCAACACTTGTGCTGAACTCTGAATAATTTACTCAAAGCACACGTACTCCGTACATTCATAAATTACATTCCTATTACTTTCTAAGCAAATATGTATGTGTGTAATATTCACACCTTTGACCTAGAATAAAAAAAAATGTTTACTTTCAAATAAAGTACATACTAAAAAAAGTTACTCTAGAGCTGATTGCTTTCCTGGGTTGCTAGTCAAGCACAATTACTGCACCATGGCCCCGGAAGAACGGGGGAGTTTTTATTCAGGAACAGTTTGATACTCGCTCTCGCCCCACCCAAGGCGTTAAAAAGTTATTGGAGATATTCTCCTCTCAAAAATAATAATAATTAATAGTTTAAATAAAACATTTAACAGTAATGTCTCATTACATGAATGGCATCAAATCCAGGCGTAACGCTAGCTATGAATATCTTTTAAAGCAAGCATTCAAATTTAAAGTATTCCAACAGTGGACTTTTCCACTTTAAATAGATTAGAAATCAGAATGTTCTTCAATATCAGCCTGATTCCGTCCACTGCTGGACAAAGGCCTTCCCTATTGCACGTCAC